GGGGGATAGGGTGGGGCAGATAGAGAGCCGCACACTAGTTGACGCAGAAGTAGCACCTGTTTTTTACTGTTCGGAGTTATTGTTTTCTTTCCATGGTAATTGCTCGGTACCCTGGCTCTGTGGGAGTTCAGAAAAGTAATGCAGTAATGCAGGTTCGTGCTCCACAGGGGCAACTGACTTGGGGGGGAAGCGGTGTACGCAGAGCGGGCAATCAGCAACAGATTCCATTTTTAGGTGTGCATTGAGTCGAGGATGACGACGACTAGCGCTTCAATCACCAGGATGCACAGGACTGGATGTCCGAGTTGTAAACACCGCGTCAGTGTTGGACTCTTGTTGCCGTGGTTGGAAGTGCAGCTCAGGGTCTGGCCCAGCAGCTGTAGTCATGCAGCCGACTTGAGGTGAAGTTCTGGTTCCCCTCCTCAGCTGCGATGACGCTAAGAGGACTTAACAGCTGTCTAAGTAGGCGTCAGGTCCCTGGATCAACAGCTACACCAGCGGCTCAGTGAGAAGGTTAGAGACGGGCGGGCTCTGCCTCAACCTCAGTTTACCTGAAGAGTCTCCTCTTTCACCAAGAGAATTTCTTGCCTCTTAGTAAATGTGGGACTGCTCAAAGGAATGCGGCCCTTAAAAACCTGTTTCCGCAGCAGTTGGCTCTGGGGAACTGGCCTTAGACCTGAAGTCAGATAAAGGGGTTCTTTACTGAGTTTGACTTTCCAGCCCTTTTGTTAACCTGAATTAGTCCTCAAGTGCTAGCTAGCAGCGGCTTCCTCGCCAGCCTCCCTGAGCTTCCTGATCAAAACCCGGCTGCGGTCTGTGCTTGAGGCAGAGGTGTGTTGAGGGCTCTGTAGTGTGGCCTCCTCATCTCCAGCCGCCCTTCAGGCTGTTTTCCTTCCGAGTGGCAGGACTGTTTCAGGAGAGAGACTGTTGATGTCAGCTCAGGTAAAACATTTGGCATTGCTTTCCGCTCAGATAAAAAGTGGGAGAGCACGAGCATCATGTGTACTGCCAAACCCTGCGTTTCGGCTGGGATTGGGGACTTTGGCCTCCAGAACTTGTCACACCGGGTCTTGGCACCTGAAGGCGAACAGGCCTCCCATTTCGAATATACCTCCATCCCCCTGGTAGGGAAGGTACTTCCCGCTTGGCCTTCTGCCGCCGAGCGCTCTGGACAAGCCGTTCTTGGGATCTCCGCCAGGCTTTTGCTGTACGACACGGTGTTGCATTGCCTCTGTTCTGTGCTGCATCAGTAACGACTGTACTCCCAGTATGTGGGGAACCTAGAGCATAAGTGCTTTGGAAACAGAACCAGCTCTAGAAGTTAGTTGTGTGTATGTTTGGGGGTTCGGGGTGGGGTGGCCCCAGAGCCACCTGTCTGCCCCAACTAAAAACAAACAACTCCTAGATGCCAGTCTCTGGGTGAAAAGGAATTCACTCACCTGCTGCCATTGAGTCAATTTGGACTCCTAGCAACCCAGGGGACAGAGTTGAACTGCTCCCGAGACTCAATCTTCACAGGAGTATGAAGCCTCATCTCTCACCCATGACGTGGCTTGTGGATTCGAACTGTTGACCTTGAGGTTAGCAGCCCATAATCCACTAGGCCACCAGAATTCCTTGGAAAGGAATTGGTTAGCATATTTCTTTGTAAAAGGCAAAGAGACTCAGTGAGTGAATAGGGGATAGAGGATAACTCCATACTAGACAAATACCACACTGAATGGTCTGAGGGGTGGGATCTGAAAAAGCCCAAGTGTTCAGTCTTCTCTGTACCCTTGGTGTGACCTGCTTTGTCTGTAAAATGGGAATGCACAACAGCCTCCTGGCAAGGTCATGAAACTCCTTCCCCCCAGCATGCCAGGCAAGTCACAGGGCCCAGCCAGCCAGCCGCCTGCCTTCTGAAGGCCCAGGGCGTGGGTGCTACTTTGGACTGGAAAGTCTTCAAGTTAAATTTAGAGGCTAAAATGTCAGAAAACAAATAGTACTGTTTGTTTCTCGGGTTCTTCGTGCAATGTTTTCCCCTACAGAGAGCCCTTTGAGTATGTGTGGGTCCTACATCTACGGGACTCGAAGCTGGCTTGCTCTCCTTGGGCCGTTCCGGATGGCTGAGTGTGGCTCATGGGAAGGACGGAGGCACAGCAGCTTGTTTGAAGCCGCTTTCCTTCCCACCTCTGGGTGCCCTACAGCCCAGGGCTGCGGACCCTGGGAGCGCATTTCTGCCGCTGCCCACAACCGTTGAGGAGGGAAGAATGGGTGTCATGACTTGCCTGTCAGCATGGTGGGCTGGAGGACTGCCAGGTGCGTGGCATCCCTGCTGTGGCAGCTCGGACCAAGGGCGTTTTCCTTGGAATCCTGCTTTCCGTCTCCTGAGCCCAGCCACATTGTGGTCAACTCCTTTGACCTGGAAAGATTCCAGGTGGTTCTAGGTGAGGAACCTGAGACTCTCCAGGAGGGAGGGCCCTTTCTCAAGGTGACTTGGTGAGCTTGATGGAGAAGAGCCCAGATCCCCTTCCAGCTCTCTGCGCTCTGCTCTGCGCCCCCTACAGGGAGCTTGGGGCAGGGCGCCTCCCACCAGCCCTGCTGGAGAAACAAGCCTCACTCTCCTGGACACCTGGCCCCAGCCTGAGCAACCATCCCCCAGCTGCTTTGGGAAGAGCGAATACTGCTGTGAGTTCACGCAGGTTTAACACTCAGGGTGGGTGTGGGGCGGAGTACGGCGTGGAGACTCAAAGCCCATGTATAAGCACCTAGGCATCCCTTTACAGAAGGGTCGCAGGGAGGAGACGAGCCAGGGGGTAGTATAGCACTGATGAAACATACAACTTTCCTCTAGTTCATTAATGCCCACCCCCCCCCCCCAACTATCATGATCCCAATTCTACCTTACAAATCCGGCTAGACCAGAGGATGCACACTGCTACAAATAAGAACTGGAAACACAGGGAATCCAGAACAGATAAACCCCTCAGGACCAGTAATGAGAGTAGCGATACCAGGAGGGTAAGGGTAAGGTGGGGGAGAAAAGGGAAACCGATCACAGTGATCTGCATATAACCCCCTCCCTGGGGGATGGACAACAGAAAAGTGTGTGAAGGGAGACGTAGGACAGTGTAAGACATGAAAAAATAATAATTTGTAAGTTATCAAGGGTTCACCAGGGAGGGAGGGAAAAATGAGCTGATGCCAAGGGCTGAAGTAGGAAGCAAATGTTTGAGAATGATGATGGCAACAAATGTATAAATGTGCTTGACATAATGGATGGATGTTGTGATAAGAGTTGTACGAGCCCCCAGTAAAATGATTTAAAAAAAAAAAAACACTCTGAGAGCCAGTATGAGAAATGGCTGTCATTTTCCCATTATCAACTCAGCCAAATATATACTGGGAAGGGCCACGCACCACAGTAGGTGCCAAGGAAATGGCAAGAAGAAGAAAAAAAGTCATACTGCCAAGGGATGCTTACCACTGGGGTCTCTGGAACCAAGTTAAAATTCTTTTTTTGTTTTCTTAAATCCTGACAAGCGAATGGGAACTACAGTATCACACGTTCTGTTCCTGTGTCTCCCCACGCAGAGCTGTGCCAAGGTTCAGGACTTGACATAGTGGTGGAGCCTGGGGAAGAAACCCCTTTTGTCATTTGTCAGGGTTATGGCCGGGCCTCCTGTGCTAAGCACCCATTTGATCCCTCGCAGCTGCTTTTGGGTGTCGGCCCCTTCCCTACCTGTTGTGGGCTGTCACTGGGACTTTCCAGGCCTACTTGCGGGTAGGAGCGGGAGTGAGGAAGGATAGGTGGGACAGGGCAGAGAGAAGCGCGTCTCTCCCTCTCTCCCCCTCTTTTTCTCATCTGTAAAATAGATCATACTCACCTGCCTTTCTGGGTTGAGCTGTGAAGTGGCACCCAGTGTGCGAGGGGCTTCAGAAGGCTTGTGGGGAATGAATGGAGAGGGTAGTGGCGTGACTTGAAGCCCCCGTGCGTGAAGCTCGGCCCGTGCCTGACTGGTGCCCAGAAGCCCCTCACTGTTTTGGCGGTAGTTGTTTGGCTGTTGGTAGAAGTGTCGTTGACGCTAGCCGCGTCAGGTGTGCTGGATGAAGGTGCTTAGCTAGTGTGGCTGTGTGGTCTTGGCAGGAGGGAGCCTGTGGGGCCTGCAGGGAGGCAGCTGCCCCTGGCAGAGCTAGACGGTGGAATGTAGGCGTCACTCCCAAGTCTCCCACCTCTGGATGTGATTTCATGAAGGCACTGCATCGCTTGAATGGACTGGTGCCTGGTCTCCCTGAGGTTTTCCATGGTGCGGGCTGCTTCCGCCAACCTCCTGGAGCACAGTTCCCACCCTTGGTTTGATTGGCGGTGAAGTTGCTCCTGTGTCTGCCCTCACTGACTGTCTTCACTCTCTTCCAGGGGCTCCACGGGCCATACCCCTTCGGCCAGTCTTAAATGGGTGTCTCAGCAAGAAGAAAAATTAACAAAAGACAGAAGGTCTGACTCTGGGGGGGAGGGCAAGGGGTTCCTCTGGATTGCAGACCTCACCGCATGGACCCCTGGCTCTGGCCCCTCACCGGGAAGAAGAGGAAGCGGCGGCAGAACAGACTAGTTTTGAGTAAACTCAGTATGCGTGTGTGAGTGCTGAACCCGAGGCTGCCCCCGAAGACCACCATGCAGCCACCTGGCTTTTGTTGTTATTAGGCGTCCGTCTCACGAGTCAGTCGGTCACTGGGGAAGGGAGAGAACGCTAACAAGAGGGGGAAAAGCCATCTTTTTAAACAAAAATTATTTTGCCTACAGAGAGGTTGTAGTTTTGAGCACATGCCCCCCCCCCTCCCACTTGTTTTGTTTTACACAAGGGAATTATGCACTCTTCCTAGACTAGCTGCTCGGGAAGCGGGTCAGGTTCACGGCTAGCATGGCATGTCTGGGGACTCTGCAGGGCAGTGCAGCCAGCCACGTCACTGCCCTGACCCCATTTGTTTTTAATGGCATCAGCCTCTTCCTCCTCCTCTTCCCTTTAATCTTCTGTTGATTTACACCCTTGACATTTGTATTCGTCAGCCCTGTGGCTTGTTAGCCCTCAGGTCCTCTGAAGACCAAGCTCCCCTGGGTGACCCGCAGAGGAAGCCTTGAGGACTGATCTCGGGTGACCCTTCCATACCCCCGTGTCACGATTTGAATTGCTTTTTCCCTGTGTGTCTCTTGGCTGAGAGACATGCCATCATCATGCTTACTTACTGTGCTTTCAGGCGGGTTCTTCCTGTCCGCCCCCTCCTGCTCGAGGAGGGGGCATGGTCTGTTGTGCTCACCGGGAACAAGCAGCGGGCAGGTGTGCAGGGGTCACCTACTTCTCCGAGGTCTCCCCGCTCGCTCCCCTGCACTTCCCTCCACCTGTCCTTTGTGGTAGCCTCACAGCCCGTCAGTGGAGGCTGAGCCCCAACGGGGAGTTGGCCGTGAGGAAGGACCAGGGTTCTTGGCCTGGCTCCATCCTGGAGACCACGTTGGCATGGACCTGAGAGGGTTCCGCCCTGCGACGAGGGTGGTTGGTGGTGGGGAAGTGGGCGAGGGGCAGCCTGGCCAGAGCAGAGGCAGGTGGCCCCGGGCCTCCTTTGGGTTCCAGCAGGTGGGAAGCTGGAACCAGGTTAGCACAGCTGTCTGCCAAAGATATAAGAATATGCAAAGTCCTTCTTCGCACCCTCTCCTTCCCAAGAGTCTCAGCTTGTTTGATAGCCGGGGTAGGAGGGAGCCAGGAGTGTGGATTGGGGGTGTGGTTGCAGGGTCACCTGCCTGTTGCTGCACCCCACCCGCCCTGGGGGGATGACACAAGCCAGGGAGACCAGGTGATGAGCGGCTGCAAGGGGTCATATATAGCCTGGGTGTGGGTGAGGGTCTGCCTGCTTGTCTGTCTCTGGGTGTCTGAGTTCCAAAAAACGTGTGTTGTTCCTCCTCATCCTCTTCTGAGACTGTTGTTTTTTAAAGTTTGATTGTGGGAGACAAGTTTGTATGAGATTTCCCTTTGGCCACTCTATTCCCCCCCAAAATACTGGGAAGGAACACATTTGGGTCTTCTTGGGGAGGGGGCCCTCCCAGTGCCCCGCCACAAGGCTCAGGATGGCGTTCTGTCTGAGGGCCTTCTGCGGCTGTCGCTGCTGGGCCAGCCTCCTGGAGCACCACCGCCTGCAGCCCGCACATGCCCAGCCCTCCCTGCACTGCAAGCGCCTCTTCTGCCGCCCTTGGCGGGATCATGGGAGGGTTCCCCACACCCCGCTTTCCTGCCTGCCTCTGCTGCCCCACACCAGGTGCCCTTCCTGGTTTGAGGGTCAGGCTGTCTGCCCTGACTCCGTGGGTCTGGCCCTGCCACTATCCTCCTGCTCCTCCTCCCAGCCGTTCAATGGCCCAGGCACCTTGGCTTCCCTCCTAAGAGCAGGCCATTTTCACTGAGTCCTGGAAAGGGACAGTGAGGGCCGTGCAGAGGCCAGAGCAGAGCACACCATGGAGGGAGGGAGGCAGCAGACGCAGGGCCTTCCCAGGATGCAGGGGCTGTCAACACCCAGGCATTCTGCTTCTCTGTGCTGACATCAGTTCTCTGCAGTGCCTAGAGCCCTGTCCCCTCCCAGGGGGCTGAGAACCCCCCACCCCCTTAGCCCCATGAGCTCCTCTAGGAATCTTCACCAAATGGAAGACCACCCACTTAGGGGCAGGGCCACCAAACAGGCAGTAACTATCCTTGGGGGCCCGAGCCCAGGGGAAGAAGCAGGGGCTCAGGCTTGGAAGCCCCTGTCTGCGTGCATGGTGTGTGTGTGTGTATGGGGGGGTGGTGAGCGTGTGCATGCCTTTTTTCTTTTTGCCATGGGGACAGTTAATTTGGGCCATTTTTCTACAAGAAAACAGTCACCTGTCTCTCCCTGAGTAAGGACTGGCCACAACCGTGAGCCCAGCAAAAGCACTTCCAGCCTGGTGAGGAGCTCACAAGATTTCGGGCACAGCCTGAGGGTGGCCTAGATAGCAGGTGGGCAGACCAGTCAACACTTGCCCAAATTCATCTGTGCCCCAGCAGGAGGGGGCAGTGGGGCTGCCAGGACTTGGGATACCAGCTGACACACACCCCCCACTCACCCCCACCCCACCCACCATCCTTCCTTTGTTCCCTTGGGTGAATGCAAGGGCAGCCACAGCTGGCCCTCCAGCTAGACGGCAGGGTGGGTGTTTGTAGTGCCTGGGAGGGAGGACGATGAGGAGGTTTTCCTTACTGTATAAATGAATATTTGTATGATTAAATTAACACACACAAACCCGTTTCTGTGCGTCAGTGCGTTCCATTGCGCCTTCCGACCCCACTCAGTCCCTACTCGGCCTCACGGGGACACTGACCCTGGGGCCCATCCTGTGTTTGGCAAGTCAGTCTGGGGGAGGTCTCTGGGTCAGCTGCCCATCCTGGCTCCCACTGGCCAGAGAGGTGAAGAAATGACTTCAAATGGCCCTTCAGGTCCCCAGGGTAGGTACCTGCAGGCCTCTGCCGATTGCCCTCTCCGGCCCTTAGGGAATCTGCCTGGCTGAGCTCGCTCTGATCTTGGGTCCTCAGTGTGTGGCTGGCATCCAACACAGGTGCAGGAGCACAAAGGGCAGAAAGCAGGGGTCCTGGGCAAAGCTCCCATTGGAAAAGACAAGGCCAAGTTAGGTGAGGGGACGGGATGACTCCCCTAGATTTAGAAGATGGACTCATCTTCCCTAACCGGTTCTACGGTCGTTGGCATGGTTCCTGGGAGCTGTAGACTCCCACTGGGGTAGAGTATGGGACAGGTGGGGCTTAGGGGACCGGAGGAGTACACCTAGGCTTTTGAAAGACACACAGCCCACGTCACCTGCTGTGCGGCAGGCCTGTGAGCTCGGGGTGTACAGGGTGGCCAGGTGGAGAACGTGGAAGGAGCTGTGGATGGGCAGCCCTGCAGCAGAAGCAGGTGAGCTCACGGAGCCCACCCATCCGTGTCCGTAGCATCTGAAGAGCTCAGGGCTCCTCTGTCCTCTGTCCCACCATCATTCCTCTGTTGAAGAGACAGATCAGAGCGGAGCGCTTGTTCCCACAGCTGAGCCCCACAGCTGAGCGAGTCCAGCCTGGACCCGGGCCTGGCCTGCCACGTGCAGGCATGCCTTTCACATCACGTGAGCCAGCCCCAGACCCTTGCCTCCACCTTGCCTGGCAAAGTGTGCTTTCTAAACGATGGCACCCTGAGAGGGAGCCAGGGGGCTCCCCGCCACCTCCCTGTGGGCCGCAGACGAGGGAACCCATGGCCACAGGTGGCTGGAAAGAAGTGCCCGCCAGAGAGCTGGCCCCCAGGCAGGGGGGGCTGCAGGCAAGGCTCTCATGTTGGGGAGCAGCGATGGCCTGCATGGAACCTGGTCTCTGGCCTCCCCCTGTCCCCAGCGATGTGACGGTGTGCCTGCATCCAGCTTCCTTCCAGGTGCTCACAGCTATTTGCTCTCTGCAGGGTGTGGCCCCCACCCCGTCCTCTGGGTCTTGTGGGAGCCCGGACCCACTCCCAAGCCTTCCCCAGCACCTCTACCGCCGAACAGTTATTTGCTTGGCAGAATCTGTTTGTCTTTAGGGCTGTAACCTGTCAAGAAGTCACCAGGCCCTGGGAGAAGGGAGTGGGTTTGATGGTATCTCCTGGCCAGAGCCATTCCCACGGGGGCTGGGTGACAGGGAGGGGGCTCTCAGCTGAACTCCTGGCTGGGGGTGGGGGGCATTTCTTGTGGCCTGGGCCCAGCCCTCCTGGCAGAGAAAACATACTCTCACTACCTTCTTCCCCTGCTCAGGCCATACCGGGTACCTCCTCCTTCACCCGCTTATGGTGACCGGCCACTTTCCCAGGCTCAACCTGGTGTCCAACTCTATGTGGTGGCCAAGAGACGGAGACAGCATGGGCACTTGTGGTAGCTTGGGTTTTCAAAACGGGAATGGTGCAGGGAGCAGCTGGGGCACTTTGGGC